TGTGAAAACGAAAAAAATAACAAAGGCTTGCAATCACTTTTATACATTTAAGCAAGCAATGTGCACATAATTAAACAAATAAAAGGGTTGTGTTTACATAACGTCTTTGCAAAGATTTTAAAATGCAGACGTGAAGAGGTGAGTTTTGTTGTCCCTCTTGAACTTTGCCAGGGTATTGGACTTTCTCATTGCAGATGGTAAGCTATTCCACAACGTAGCCGAAACCCTTCCAAAGCATCTGTTTCCGTAGGTCACAGTACGAGATTTTGGGACACACAACAAAGATTCTGACTCCGACCGCAGTGATCGTGACGGCTGATACAGGGTAACAAGCTCCTGTATGTACTGAGGAGCTGTTGCATTCAGTGCCTTGTATGTGTACACCAGAATTTTGTACTGCGACCTGTATCGTACAGGTAACCAGTGCAACGAATAGAGCACAGGTGTGATGTGCTCTCTCTTTCGAGTACGAGTAACTAGCCGTGCTGCAGTGTTCTGGACCCTCTGCAGACGACTAGTTAGTTTGTCAGATATACCACAGAGCAGGGCGTTACCATAATCCAACCGAGAGGTAACAAGTGAATGCACCAAAATCTTGCATGCATCTGCAGTTAAAAACTGCCGAATACAGCCGATGTTCCTGATCTGGTAGTAACAGGATTTGGCAATAGCGTTCACTTGTTTCTCCATGTTCAGAGAACTATCAAAGTATACCCCTAGGTTTTTAACAGCTGGAACAGTCTCAATAGTTCTGGCACCAACCTTGAGCTGGAGAGCCATTGTTTGCTGACACTTTGGGGAAAAGACGATTAGTTCCGTCTTTTCCTGATTAAGTTTAAGCATGTTGGCGTTCATCCAGATACTGATATCTGTCAGACAAGCTTCCAGACTTTCTGAGACTGTATTCCAACTGTCCTGTGGTTTTATGACCATGTAAATTTGTGTGTCATCAGCATAGCAATGATAGCGAAGGCTATGGCGACGACAAATCTCTCCAATCGGTTTGGAGTACATACAATATTTTCGTGGTCCTAACACCGACCCTTGAGGAACCCCGAAATCTAGTACTTTGTCATGTGAGGTGGCAGATCCGATGGCAACACACTGTCGTCGTTCACTCAGGTATGACTGTATCCAGCATAGTGCGGTATCAGTCACTCCATAAGAGTATTCCAGACGTTTATAAAGTATGCCATGGTCGATGACGTCAAATGCAGCTGACAAGTCCAGCATGACAAGCACCGCTCTGCACTTGTTATCCAATGCAGAAGCTATATCACTATGTACACGTAGGAGGGCCGTCTCAGTAGAGTGTCCCATGCGGTAGGCCGATTGCATGTTGTCATGGAGACTGTTTGCATGGAGATGAACCTCTAAACGCCGGGACACAACCTTCTCCAAGATCTTAGACAGAAAAGGCAGATTTGAAACTGGGCGGTAGTTTTTCAACTCCTCCTTGTCCATTCCAGGCTTTTTTAACAATGGTCTGACATGTGCCTTCTTGAAACATAATGGAACCTTTGACTCAACCAATGATTTATTCATGATTGCGGTAATCAAAGGAAGCAGTGCTTCAAGACATTGCTTTAATAGGTCTGTAGGCAGTGGATCAAGCTCACAGGACTTCGATTGCGAGGTCATGATAATGTTGCGCAACTCGTCCTGGGTTGTTGGTGAGAGCTTTGTCAATGGTTCCCCATCAAATGCAATGTCAGCAGTCATGACAGAGATGTCAATGTCAGCAGAGGTGTTCACTTCGGTAATATTTTTCCTGATTGAGCTGATTTTATTCAGAAAGTAATCACTGAACTTGCTTGCTAAGTCTTTTTCAGAATTACAGCTTGGTAGGATAATTTCACCTTTCTGTCCCATTAGGTTTTTGGTGAGTCTAAAAAGTTGTCTTTTATCCTTGCCACATCCTTCGATTTTTTCCGAATAATAAGCCTTCTTTGACTGAAAGAGCAGTGAACCAACTAGCCGACATTGCTCTCTATAAATCAGTTGGTGAACGGTTAATTTGGTCCGTCGCCACTGTCTCTCTGCTTGTCTACGTTTCTGTTTTTCCACGCGGAGATTTTCATTATACCACGGGGCATTTGGTCTCACAGTTATCACCTTAGTTTGCAGAGGTGCGTGTTTCTCTATGAGGGCTTCTATACCAAATGTGTATGCTTCAACAAGATCATCAACCTTGCCTTCAGTAGATTGAAGGGCGGAACAAGACTGAATGTCATTGTTGAAATCTGGTATTGAAATTTCGCGGAATTTCCGGAAGCTCACTTCTTTCCTTGCACGAGCTGGCTTACTACAATTCAGTGTTGTGTGGACAGCAAGATGATCACCGGATTGGTTTCCCTTTACATCACTTAGACATGGATCAATCACTGAAATAGCTCCATGAATGACTGAGTTATCTTACCTCGTTATGACCACATCCAGTGTGTGGCCATGGTTGTGTGTAGCTTCTGTCACATGCTGAATCAGACCCCTGGAATCTAGTAGACCAGAGAACTGGCGAGCATCAACATTAGATAGATCGTCTAAGTGGAAATTTAGATCACCCGTGATAATAATCTCTTGTGGTACAACAACTTGGTGGTCTAGAAAGGTAGGCCATTCATCAAAAAACACTGTATTTCGGAAAGCATTCTGTTTAGATGGTGGAGGCCTGTACATGATACACAATCGAAATTGTTTATCACCAGCAATGACAGAACAAGTCATGTGCTCAAAGTGTGTGTATACATCATCATGGCTGGAAGTGAGATGTCTCACACTTAGGCCTTTCGTAAAAAGAACAGCCAACCCACCACCACGTTTGCCGAGTCTAGCATTGTGGTGGAATTCATAGCCTGTTGGTATTAGCTCAGCTAGGACCTGGTCATCGATATCTGGACCTAACCAGGTTTCTGTCAATGCAAGAATGTCAATGTCCTGAGATGTTACAAAATCCCCGATGGACAATGACTTATTCTTCACTGAGCGACAGTTTAAGGACACTAAATTCAGAGGAATAACTGACTTACAGTGACCAGCTGTTGTTGGCTTGATGACATGTAAATTCTCGAACGATACTGATGATGTTGGAATCCATGTGGAAGTATCGTTACGAGAATGCACAATAGCGTCGATGCCCGATACTTCTGTAAGTGCAGTGTGGCCCTGCAAGAAAGGGTGCGAGGCAGACAGACCATTTTTAGTGACCAAATGGATGAGGTTATCAGTGTTCAAGCCCGAGTGGGTAAAACCACTGGTTCCGTTTGATCTAACACCGATAACACTTGGTATTCGCCTAACAGCACCCTTTCCTGCCCGTGTCCCACGTCTAGTGCGCAAGTTTTTCTCCGAATTTGATTCCTTAAAATCCTCTAAAAGATGTGTTGTAATATTATGACTCGCTGGTCTAAGTGCCAGGAGAACAGATCTACTATATCTAAACATATGTAAATGTACAACTTCAAGTATTTACAACATAAGCGAAACAAGAACAAACACAAATAGTAGTACAACACTGCAAAATGTCAAGAACATATCTACCAAATTTCTGAATCTGTTGCCGATACTAAAAGGGGACTTATTCACATTGCAAATGGCATCAGAAAATTACTACAAACGGCATCAGAAAGTTTTAGTCAGATCTTAGAGTAATAACGTTACTATTCTGCACTGTTAACAAGAATCATTAAGTCAAAATATAATACTGATATTGATCTTAAGTACTATAAAGTATCTGCATTTAGCGCCATTTTAATTCTTTGACGTGACGTCATTCAGCCATTCCTGACGTCGTTTTGTAAGCCATTGTCGTCTAGTTCAATTTATGGTGGAAACGATTTGAATATTATTACAGGGTTGTTATGAGTAACGATTTACAAAAGATATAATGAAAGCATATAAATTAATTGTAGGTATATTATGTAGGCAATACCACACATAACGTCACAGATTATACTCGTTCATTTTGCAAATTGATATATTGCACTAGGGTTGAAGCCGTTGTGAAATATATCCACACACGCAATGCATTCGTGCAATATTGGACGTCAGACAAACAAACATGTGTGGTATTGCCTTTTTATCAATACGAGGAAGGAAGGCTTGTTCGTGAGATAAAGTAACTGATAACTATTCCCACCTTATGTTGATGGAAGTTAAACTGTACTATATTGAGAGAAAAAATATGTGTCAATTGAGCACAGGAATTTCCTTATTTTTTATCAGGGAATATCAATAGCTTGTAGATCAATTTGGTGATATACCTTGTATTACTTCGGTTTGATCTGAGGACAAACAAACATCCTATTTATGAATAATACGGCTTGAAACCCTTTTACGTAGCCTTTTATTAATGGAAAAAATGTTGGAAAAAATCAACAATTACAATAGAATTCCTCCATGTAGAATATAAGGACACTTTTGTTTTAACCTGTACTTCGAATGCCGTGGAATTTCCTACGATCACTACCTAATTTAAATTCAATGATAATCTCATTTGCGACAAAGATATTGTCACATCGCATATAGCTCAGAGTCTTTTGTGACTTCCTTGGCAATGAACCCTTTATACGCAAACCTTGTTGATAGACACCTTTTGAACATTAGTATGAGAATATGATCGTCCTCCACTTTTCTCTTGGAGTGCAAACTCTTGACAAAGGAACGGCGTATCCTGTTGCAAAAGGTTTGAATATTGCATTCAAGGTTGGGGGGATTTTGTCCTTGAAAGCAGCAGCTTTTAATAGACCATAATCCAAACGTATGTAAAACAGGTCACCAACTGATCCAGCAGTAGAGTTGAGATATCTAAATGCATTCTATTTTAAAATATGCGTTTCTCCCTTACTTAACGTTTTGCAACAGATACGTTTTGACAGTATTTTATCTGACAATATATTCTACTGCTAAAATTTGAAACATTCAGTATACACTTTACCAAAACCAAATCGGTTCGTTGAGTCAAACATTTATCATTAAATCTTAACAATCCGACATTTGAAATCTTATGGCGCCCGTGCCAGCCCTGGGATAGGTTCGAGTGAGGGAAGTTGGTCCGGTACCTCAGGGAGGATCTCAAATCTCTGCAGCAATGATGTCATCAGTGTGAATAGTTTCAGCCTTGCTAAGGATTCTCCGAGACAGGTCCTGTCGTCACAAAGTGATTTTATATTTAAGTACATTTAATGCACATTGAAATTAAGAATATTGTTATTCAAATATATCAATCAGTTGTTAGTAAATAGAGTAAATCCTTGTAGGAATTATAATTTGTTATTTCAGCATAAACTGTCAAACCCTTCTAACAAAAAAACTAAATGAAGTGGTAGTTTGTATGAATTGATTCTTGTTCAAATACTGTTAAAGGCAATAGAGATGTTTTGTCCAACACATGATCTCCCACTATAACATATCAATGTCTATATAAGTATTTGTAAATTTATCGAATTTTGCTAAGATTGAACATCACTTTGTTTGATATATGATCAGTTTCATCCCGAACTATTCTAGTGTTTGTATATACGTAAGGATTTAAGTATATTTTGATCGGGTAGAATGCTGTGCCTGGTTCCTGGTGCCTGGTGGAATACTGTGCCTGGTGCCTGGTGCCCTCGGGGTAGAATACTGTGCATGGTGCCCTCGACACGATATTTCAGTGAGGTAACACTCTAAAATCGGCATCAGTACCGCGCTATCGCAAGGATGCAAGGATGCAAATACACCAACACAGATCCTCCAGCACACACATACTGTTACACACAAGAAGGCCCGTTCTTTAATAATCTTACATGCTAATATGACGCTAAACCCTATACACTAAATGAAACGTATCACACTAGTATAGGTGTGAGGAGTGGACGTTTGATAGTTATAAGCTATAAGAATTGAGTTGGTCTTGAAACAAACTTAAATAACTGCTAAGGGAGAATTTCTTAAGGCAGTACATGGATTGTGACTACCGCTAGTAACAGTTGATACTATTTTGCTGATTAATCATCTTTGGTTGCTCGAACAATTTCTTGTGTATTTTCATAAAAAAAATAAAAAAACATTCAGACAAGTGATATCTTCTATGTTTAAAAATGTTGATAGTTATCTCCTTTCTTAAAATACATAACGTATGAAAATATGTATTCATACGTACAGCCAGTGTTAATCAGGTCAGTTTCATCGGAAAATGAAACAGGTAGCATTTGGTAGTTGCATTGAGTCCAACTTGAGTAGAAATTGAAATATTTCCCATTAACTATCAAACCATCGATTAACACATTAGTTCTTACCTAGCGAGAAGGATATGACATTTCTCTCTTTGTCATTGAGTTGTCCGTCCTGTCCTAGATATCTATCGGGATTAAATGTGTCAGGATTTTCAAAGATGTTGGGATCGTTCATTACGGAGTCAAGGGAAACCAGGATCATCGACCCACTTGGTATAGTCATTCCACGGAACTGGATGTCCTTCGTGGCACCATGAGGCACAGAAAATGGTGCGAAGTTGGCCATTCGGTGTACTTCTGTCATAAACGCCTCGTTGTAAGGCAAGGCGGGTTTGTCGGTGAGTGACGGAAGCCTGGACGTCCCGACCACTGACTCTATCTCCTTTCGAAGTTTGTCCTGGATGTTTTTATTGTGAAGAAGGTACAGTATCGCCCATACAAATATGCCAGATAATGTGACAGTTCCGCCAAGGAACAGATTCATGATGATAGCTGACAAGTTTATATCTGTGTAAATAAAACAAATAAACTTTTAGTGCTGGGTGCAAATGGTTATAATTGTTTCTCTGTGCAGAAATTAGTAAGGTGGTTTTAAAGTGAAAATTTCGCGGTGTGGCAATGTTCGCGGTTTTTGATTTTAAGTTAATTATCGTGAAAGTATCCACATGCATAACATTTAAACAAACTTTGAGAAATATTCCTAGCCCGAACATTTCCTCATCGCAATCAGGTTAAGGAGTCACAACCACACGCCACAAAAACGACTTTTACAGTATATAGAAAATCTCGACTTCATGTACGGGGATACTATTGATACTGCAAACAAGGTTGCCTCCTTGTGATCACGGATAGTTAGTCGTTACATTACATGAATATAGGGTGGTCGGATGGTGCGGTGGATAGCGCACATGCCTTTCACCAAGGCGTCCGGGATTCGATTCCCCGATCGGACGTGAAAAGATATGGGATCACCTGCCAGACCACGTGGGTTTTCTCCGGGTACTCCGATTTTCTCACACAATAAGACCCCCCGCGCGCATCCGCGCCAACAAGAGTGATAAATATAAGTTGAAATATTTTGTTTCATAAATAAATAAAGTTGATATTTTTTTATAACATGAATAATTCAATTATAAAACACAATAGTAAAGACACATACAATGTACATACCCATTTTCAGACAACAGATGATGATAGGTTATAATTTTCATTACCACACTGTATTTTCAGGGTTTGTCGTACATAGATAAAACGTCGCCGCGTAGATAAAATCTCGAGCCCACTTTAAGTGGCCAATCGATTTTATCCACGTGCTCTCGATGAGAAAATTGTTCTCACGACCAACCTTGAAAATACAGTGTGATAATATATAAATAACTTCACAGGCGATGATATATGATCCCATAAGTTTCACTACAATCCGAATATTTACTTTCCTATTGTAAATACTGATTTATGTCATTTAAGCGACAAAATGATACATAATCGTTATGAATGAATAAAACAAATAAGTAAATAAATATTTCCTGCGTACCTTCAAAAATCTGTTCATCCTTGCCACGTTTGTTTTGTTCGGTAAGGAAAGCATCAATGAAATCTCGTTGATTATCTTCGTCAAACTTTGTCCTGTGTTCGTTAATTTGTTCATCGATACATTCCTTGATATCGTTATAATTGCTAATCAACTTTTTGATATTAAACATGTCCCCAGGAAGGTACCTGGCACCAGGTATGTTTCTTACAGCTCCGCTCTCCACTGTTAGCCGAATGTTATCAGCAAAAAGGGACGTCAATCGCTTAAACCTTGCGTCAGTGTATTCAAATCTATTTCCAAATGCAATACTGCATGTGACATTGGACACAGCCAAGACTGTCAACGGCTTGATGTCGTACGGGCACCCGTTTTGTTGCTCAATGATATCTAAGTAAGATGCTGTTTCTTCTTTTACTCTTGATTCCAATGAACTGCCTCCAAATCCAAACTCCCGAAGAGTTTTCGAGGAAAATGTCCTGGTGAGTTTCCAGTGTTCGCCGGACGATGACAAAATACCTAAAGTTGAATAAACAGCAACGAGTTTATTCGTTATAAATAGATATTAATGCCTGAAAGCAAATACAAATATGCTGTTTTCAGAAGAAACAAGACAGATTTTGAGACAGAATAAATAAATTAAAACTAATCACAACGCCAATCTAATTAAAATTGTATCTTCCAATCGCTCCCGTTTACGCGTCATTTCGACTCAGCAGACTGGAGCAATGCGAAGATATATTTTAATTAGATTGTCACATGGACAATCATTAGGTCTACATCCTTGTTCTTCAAGCATGCGGAAGTAGATTTCAATAGACCACCGGTATTCCATTCAGGTCTAATTCGTAACATTTCTATTCGATTTTTTTTTTTTAATTCTTTTGAATCCAAATTAAACATGTTTTATAAGATAAGATGCGTCTACCAAAATTAAGATATATTGAGAATAGAGGATAGTTTACCTCCAAATAAAAAGTTCTTGTCTTCCAACATATAAATTATTCATCCTCCTGATTTTTGTAAAGACTACACAAATTCCGTTTCAGATATTATTTGCAAGTATGTCACGGATTTATTGCAAGTATGTCTTAAAATAACAATGATTTAAGTCTACTTGCATATAACTTATCCTCAAGATTTTTGTAAAGAATATCGAAATTCCTTTTCAGATGCTGTGAAATAATTACTTTTCGTTGGTTTTTCTTTTCGTTGATTTCGTGGGTCATCTTCATGCACGAATTTATAGATCCACGAATTTATTGCAATCTTTATATAAAGTAATTCTCTGTTTGAGTGGGTACTCTTAATCCACGAATTCATGTGCCAAAATGGGAAACCACGAAATTTGGTTCCCACGAAAACATCCGATTTCACAGTAACTTGAGAATAGGATGCCTTCAATTACAATAATGTTAAGGCTACTTCCATATAAGTTATCCTCCAGATTTTCAAGATAGTAACTACTCGAATTATTTTTCAGATATACTGACAAAATCCTTCAAATAACGATAGGTTTGAAAACAACTTCTTCAGCATCTGTTTTTACCTATTACCATATTGTTTGATGAACACCTATCAATAGTGTTATTTTTGTATCGGGGTTCTGATAATCGCGATTTTCGCATTAATAATGTTTCCTTGAAAAAGGCACTTAAAAGCAAAATAAAAGCAAGTTAATCCATTCTTACTATACCACTATGAGCCATAGTTACTAGACCTTTCATCCGCGAATATAAACGTTAGAACGACGAATAAAAAAATTCTGCGAAAATTGAAGATAGGAGAAAAGTTTATAAGTAGTTGTAGTTGTATTGCGCTTTAAATTCGCGGCGACAATATTCCACGGTTTCCTAGTCAGTGCATATCCGCGGGGAAAAGTCGTGAGACTGAGATGTTTTTGGTAGTTCCTATACATGTACTGTCCATAATAATAATAATAATAATATTTATTCAGATCAAAGGCAAATAATACACGTATGTCATATGTTACAGATTAGACATAAATAAATATATATTATCACAGATATTATTTACAAGTTATTTATGCCATAAAACTAGTAATCAGTCAGGTGTTAAAACTGGATTGGATTAGATCAATTTAGGCCTTTACCTGGCTTGACCCATAAAGCCACATTGTTGCTTAATTCCAATGGGGTCCCTGGGTAGATCTAAATAAATCAATTCAATTCATAAAAATAGTTACATAATTATATAGTATATATTGATAATTTGATAAGACTCTAAGACCCTTTTTTCTTTTTTTTTTTTGATAAAAATAGATATAAAATGTTACATGTGCCATAGGCTATACTACATAAAATAATGCTGGTCCATGTCTTGTCCACATGTATCTGCAGGTAATAGGCAATACTGACATGACTTTGACTGGATGACCTTTGACTGGATGTCCAACCAGAAGAAAGAGACATTTTGAGAGGACTAGTTGTGCTATTCTAGGTCTAGGTACTACAAAATATATTGGAAAAGAATATCATTTAAAATGGTAAGTTTCATATGTTTATATATTTCATAAGCTCTCCGATATTGATATATTAATTCTAAAATGTATAGGTTCAATTTATTACTAATCTAGGATTTTTGGTAAATGGGATAACTGAAATACCCAGAGTAACTCAGAATTAGGATGAGTGATTTCTTTGTCACACATCTTTTTAAGAAAACTATATTATCATACTTTTTGTTTAAATTAGATCCTTTTCATGGTTAAAGTGTATTGTTCTGAAATATTGCTAAAATATGGATAAAACCTAAACTCTCGGTTTTTGTTAAGACAAAGTCCATAGTTGTAAATATAGTTATCTGATAGAGTATTTTCCTTTGATATTACAGTAAAGGATCAGACTGCATATGTTCATGTCTATAGATTGGACTGATCCAATATAAAGGATCAGCACATGACCCTCTACCCATAGTTATGGTAAGCAGTATTTTATCTATTGTTTTAACAAATGTATTACTGTTATAGTTTATCCTAGTCAGATTATTTGTCTTGACATTATTCTGTTTTCTGTATATGGAAAAAGGTAGATTTGGATCATATCCATTATCTAGTATAGATGAATATTGTTATTAGTCAACAAGAGGATTATCTCCCATTATCTAGTATAGATGAATATTGTTATTAGTCAACAAGAGGATTATCTCCCATTGTTGCATTCTATGTATTTTGTGAACAATAGGAAAAGTTAACTTTCTGTATGCATAGTGAGAGATGAATAGATTTTATTGAGTTAGATAAATAGGATAGGGTTTATGTGGATTTTATATGATTTTTATAGTTGTGACCTATTATAGCTAATGTATGTATATATATTATATAGGGTACACATGGTGATACTAGTAAAGCGATATGTATGTAAATATGTTACGTATAGGTGTGTAATTTTGTGTTGCAGGGTCAAAACCATCTACATCTTTGTACAGCATCCATACTAGCTGGTACCTGTTTGTGTGTGATGTCTATACTATACTGTGATCATCCTATCGGAGTGACAATAACACTCTAACCCGACCCGGTTGACTTTGTCGACTTCCTTCCGGTTGCGCTAGCAGGTTAATTTTCAATACTTATAGTTAGCTATTAACAATATTATGTACATGATTTTTCTTACAGTTATCTCTGATCATATGTTCCCCTTGCTATTATAGCGATTCCTAGACTTATTTAGTAACGCTTAGGTTAGAGTCACAATTTTCTGTATCTACAATACATTTGTTAAAAAGTACACACACATCGGAAGCGAGTCAGAAACTAGTAATGTCATTGACTGCTCGCGAGCCGATATCTATAAAAACGAGGGCTCAAATTTGCGTGGATGATTTTTCCAATGCTTGTTTAACCTGTCCTTAAAACAGTTAACACTAGGAGCCGAGGTCACATGCTCTGGCCGAGAATTCAATGGTTGGATAACTCTGTTGCTGCAATAATTGGTAGTTTGATTCTTTTTACAGCGTTTTTTGAACAGTTTTTTGGAATGTCCCCTTGTTTCTCTGTAGTAGCACATTTTAAACAGCTTTTCCTTCTCAAGGCTGTCTATGTCATTCAAGATTTTGAAAACCTGAATCATATCTGCCCTTTCTCTTCTGTATTCTAGTGTAGGTGATCCAAGAATATGGAGTCTATCTGGGTATGATCTGTCCTTAAGTGGTGGTACACGCGTAGTAGCACGACGTTGACTATTTTCTATAGCCCTTTTGTCTTTGATGTACATTGGTGACCAGATTACAGAGGCGTATTCCAAGTGTGGCCTTACAAGAGATTTGAATATTCTGGTAAAGATGTCATTACTCATATATGTGAAGCTTCTGAAGATTATTCCGACTATTTGATTTGCCTTGTTAGCTGTTTTCTGGACATGGACTGAAAAGTTCAAATGATCGTCAATGAATACACCTAGGTCTTTTTCACTCCTAATTTTGCAGATATGATGCGTTGTATTGTCCTGTTGTAGAGTGTATTCTGACAGTTTTTCCTTGAATCCTATTTCGATGTGTTTACACTTCTCAACATTTAGCTTCATTAACCACCTATCCGTCCATTGGCACATGTTGTTGATACTAATTTGTAGATTTGTGTAGAAATTTTGGTTGATAGTTGGCATCGTCAGCGAATAGTTTAGTAGTACAATTTAATATTTCTGGTAGATCATTAATGTATATCAAGAAAAAGTAGGGGTCCGAGTACACTCCCTTGCGGGACTCCACTTAGGACTGGAAAAATTTCCGATACTGCTCCGTTAATGACTACTTGTTGAGACAATCCTGTTAGGTATTCTAAGATCCAGCCAAGTACCCTCCCTGTGACTCCATAGGATTCAAGTTTAAATAGCAGAAAACTGTGGCATACTTTATCAAAGGCTTTACTAAAGTCCATATATATGACGTCAAGATTGTTGCCATCGTCGAGTAATTTAGCCCATTCATCAATTGTTTCCAGTAGTTGGGTTGTGCAGGATTTCTCCGGTCTAAAGCCATGTTGTTCTTTATTGAATAAACTATTTGTTTCCATATGGTTGAATAGTTCATCCCTTATAATTCTCTGTAGTATTTTACATGGCACCGAGGTCAGACTGATCGGTCGATAGTTGCTTGGGTCATTTCTTGATCCTTTTTTGAAAATCGGTGTTACATGTGCGTGCCTCCATTCTTCTGGTAGTATTCATTGTTCAAGTGACATATTGTAGATTATGGAAAGAGGTTTTTAAGCTCTTGAACGGTTTCGACGATGAATTTCGGTGTATGTTATCCGGTCCTGCAGCTTTGTTTGGTTTTGTATTTTTAACAGCTTTTTCCACAGTTGCATCCGTAATTACAACCGAGTCCAATCTTTCCAGAAATGTCCTAGCATTGACATTGACATCGCATTAGTGTAGTAGATTTTTAAGCATTGGTTCCAGTTACAATCCTCATTATAAGTGATAAAACTAGCATCATACGCCCCATTGGCCTGTGTTGGCATATCGCTATATATAAATGTAGCTTCTGAATCGTCTAACGCATCTATCAGGGTTGACTGGTCAAGGTAATAATCGGTGTCATTTACAAGCTGCACCCTACTTGGAAATGCAGAGCTGTTTTTGATAGGACTCATTAAGCGTTCAACAATTGTTGTCGTTGGATATCGGCCGGTCTGTCAGTGCTGCTTGGTTTGCGCGTTCCATTGAATGTCACTCTGCCTGCAGT